TATTAGTGGACGAACTTATATAAGGCCAAATATCTGCAGACTTCTACTACGTTAGGTACGCCGATGATTTGGTGATAGTCCTAAAAGGCCAGTTCGCAGGTAAATATAGAAGCATACACAAATCTATCAGAAAAGGGAAAGTAACAGTAAACCAGCACAAAACCATAATAGTGAACTTCACAAAACGAAAGATATTGACAAATCTAAAGTCATCAGTACTGAAATGAGTAGAGATTTCGTTTGCCTAGGAGACAAATTACTTGGGAGCCATAAATAGTATTGTAGGTGCAGACTTGTATAATCAAAATTGTTATAATTGTTTGTTTTTAATTTTTTAAAAGATTGTATAAATAAAACATCACTGGTACATATTATTTAATTTTACTTCAAAACGTTATCAGCATGAAGCTCCGTTCTGATCTAGTAAAATTGAATAGGGTAAGCGAAAACATTTCAGAGATGACTGGCGGTGATGCGTAAGTAGTACTTCATCTTCACTTTCATCGTTAGGATCGTTCAAAGTCCTGATCGACATGGAAGTTTAAGATAAGAAAGTATTTAAAACATGAAAATCTTTGGAAGACCATTGAAGATAAAGGTACCGAGAGAGAAAAGATATGTCTAACATTAGACGGTTCAGCGATTACTCATGTAAGGGCTTGAAAATCTCCTAAAGAAGCTTGGAAAGCGTTGTCTTCTGCGTACGAAAATAAGGAAATGGGACGCAGGTTAGCTCTAGAGCGTAGGCTCTATCGTTACTTGCTTGCGGATTTTGATGATGTCGAAATTTCTATAAACGCCATCATGTCCACATCGCAGGATTTAGACGAAATTTGCAAAATAATCAAAGATGTCTCATTGGCTGTCATATTATTAGGCGGTCTTACTCCGCACTATAATCCTTTAATCATGGCTATGAAGAAATCCAATTTAATAGTGAGTACTGAATTAGTTAAGTCCAAGTTATTAAATGAGTTTACACGAAGTAATTCTGAAGATGGGTCTGCCTTAATTACACGGTATAGTCAGAAACAAAAGCCTTTCACGTATAAATCTGGGAAATGGGTAACATGTTATGAATGCAAAGAATCTGGACATAAGAGACCAGATTGTTCTCTCAAAAAGAACAAGAATGATGGAGCTTGTAAGAAAGAGTCAACATTGTTGATTGGACTTAATATAAATGGCAACATCAAAGGTGACAAATGGTATATTGACTCAGGTGCTTCTACTCATCTGTTCCAGGTTCGACTGGATGGAAAACATTAAGCCATTATCAAAGGGTAGGGTGACTTCTGTTAACGGAGACTAATTGAAACGTTAAGGAACGAAAGACAGAGTTACTATTTTCAGTGACAGTCAGAGTGCACGTAAAATATAACTTAATCCAATCCATCACAACAGGACTAAACATATAGATACAAAGTATCATTTTATAAGAGAAAAGATATCTGAAAAGATAACTGATATACAATATTTGCCAATAGAACATATGTCAGCAGACATTCTAACAAAGCTGTTAGGACGTTTAAAATATAACAAGTGCATTTTAGGATTGGGTTTAACTTAGTCTATTCTCTTAATAGTTTGCGTATTCCTTTTAGTTAGTGTTTTATGATTTATAATATACTTTGTCAATCATACCTAAATTTTAATTAAGAGGAAATGTTGTAAGTGCAAACCTATATAAAAAAAATTGTTATAATTGTTTGTTTTTAGTTGTTTAAAAGATTGAATAAATAAAACATCACTGTCGTCACAAGGTACATAATTAATTTTACTACTAAAAAGCACTTATGAGTTCTGAGAGGCAATTAGTTTAGCTACATTAAAGTAATAGTAAACTTAACAAATACATCCGCTCTAGATATTTTCAGCCTTTAAATTCATTCTTATATAATTCATACAGAATTATTGTGTACATCTCTATAAACTGAATATAGTCCTTCTCTAATTACCACTTAACAATAATAAGCCTCTGTCAGTTACCCTTAACAAAGCCATCTGGCAAGAATTTAATTTAATTTAATTTAGCATGAAACACATCTGCACAATAACGCAAAACGGCAGCAACTCTACATGTGAATACGATTTTCTCGTTTTGCATGCAAAGGCATACTTCCTAATGTTTTTGATATGGCTCAAACGATAAGCGTGGTAGCGTATTCTGTTGTTAAAGTGATTTCAGTAATTTAATATGAAATAAGAAAATCCGTGATATGTATACATAATATATACATAAAGTGATACGGTATTAAAAGGGAAAAACAATTTTATCATCCAACAGATGAGTACTTTAATATTCTTAACAATTTTTGATAAAAAAATATTAACTACACTAAAAATATACTACAACAAATGAAATACTAATAAAAATATAGAAAGAATTAATATAAATAGATCAAAAAAGAATCTATATTGTTATAATATTGTAGAAATTGAAAATAAAAAAATTATATAAATAAATTATGTTTCGGTCTTTTTAATAATAACACCAAGTATATGAAACAGTTTGACAATCTAGGTGTTACGGAAAGTTGCCTTATGGGCTAAATAAATCATAAAATTACTTACCGATATTCTTGACGGTCGTATCCAAAGTTATTGATGGGCACTTTGGGATAGGGTTAAGGAAAGAAAAAGGGAAGTGCACTATTAATTATAATATCAAAAATACCGAATTAATTGTATAGCCGGTTTTCAATAATGAAATCTATAACGACCGAGTCTTAATTAACAACTACGTTTGTACCGAGTGTACAGAAATCACAAAATATGAAAAGCGACGTTGTCACGTCTTAAACTTTATACGAACTCTACTGAACATACACCTCACCCTGAAAGAAATTTTCAGCACCCAATTGTTAAATTCAAAATGAACAAAAATCCAAATATAACTAAAAAATTTCCAAAACCCGCTAGGAAAGGCTAAACCACAAATAATAAACTGAATATACTTAAATAAAAAAAAATGAAATGTTTTTAAATTACTGTATGGGCAAAGGACAAACCTTTACCACTGGTCTGACTAAGAAACCCATACTTGTTTTCAAGGTGATGGTACGTACAATACCATCTTTACCTGGATGCACATCTGATACTACCGCCAATGGCCAATGCAACGGAGGTACATTATCTTGTTTTAGAACAACTACTGTATTGATCTCTATATTTCTAGAAGACTCAATCCATTTTTTTCGTACCTGAAGGGTATTCAAATATTCAAGATGCCATCTTTTCCAAAAATCTTGTACCATCCGATCTATTAATTGAAATCTGTCCAATCTATTAATATTAATTTGAGTTACATCTTCTGCATGCAAACTATTCAATGGAGCCAACGTTAAAAAATGAGCTGGCGTTAAAGCTTGGGGAGCTGACGGATCCGATGATAACTGACATAAGGGCCTAGAATTCAAAAGTCCCTCAACTTGAGTCAGAAGGGTTGAAAACTCTTCGTATGTTAACAATTGATCACCGATAACTCTAAAAATATGTGATTTTGCTGCTTTAACGTTACTCTCCCAAAGGGGACAATCTTCCCCCCACCCTAAATAAACCGTTTTGAAGAAAGGGTTGTAATTTCCTGAGCCTTGATGGACAAGGAAGTTTGTTTTCTAGACATTTTATATTCGAATTGAAATATATATTCTGAACAACTTTAACTAACAAAAGTTCCACCTTTTCCAAATCGATCGCTGAAATTACTTTAGCAAATGATAGTAATTTACAAAATCTAAGTACATACACCATTGTCCGCAGAATAAATAACCACGAAGACCTTCCAACTATAAGATTATACAAAGAATGATCTTCCAAATTTTCTGTAGCAACCAAAACCTCTTGGTTTAACAAACCTAACTGTATAAAACTAATTGGCCAATTTTCCTCTCTAGTTTGAAGCCACGTTGGACCCGATATCCAATGAGGGTTCTTTAATAACAGAGAAGAGGTTAATCCTCTACTAAGACAATCCGCAATATTATGTTCACCTGCAATATGACACCATTTTGCGGTAGGAAGCTGTTCTTTAATATGTTGCACCCTATTTGCCACAAAAATATCCTTAAGATGAGTTGACTCTAACTACTGAATAACTGTTGTGGAGTCTGAAAACGCATAGATTTTAGAAATTAATACCCTTTTCGAATAGACGTTATGAACATGCCTTACAAGATCTGACAACAAAACTGCTGCACACAATTCTAATCTAGGAATTGACACTATCTTCATCGGTACAACCTTAGACTTAGCACAAAATCCGTAACCTTCTTGACAAGCATCTCCGAATGCTAACAACGTAATTGAAATATCCGATTCTACTTCCAAACTCCGATATACTTCAAAATTTTCGAGTTCTGACCAAAAATTGATAATACAACATACGTCTATACGTATTTCCAATAGAAATATTTGCAAATGAAAATGGATATTTTAAATAAGTAAATACTTACCACTGTCTATAAAGTTTGTATGTGGAAGAATTAATCTTTAGAGTAGTTTTTATTTATCAATTATGCTATATTGAGTATAATTTCTAATAAAATAAATGTATATTTGGACCTTTCTTTATGATATTTTGGTATAGTTTTTTGGTTATAGCAGTTGGCAAACCTGAAGTCGCCAGATTCTATTATTTAATAATATGAGGGCTAACGAATACGTTTTGAACCCAATTACGAAATATTCCCTGAGATAGTTAATTTTTGGCCCAAACTAAATTATATAAATTTGATTAGTAAGAATTTCATTGATAAATTAAAGATTATTTATATACATACATAGAATAAATAAAAAATATATGTATACACAAAATATTTAATTTCGTTGCATTTCGTTAGCCATAAAAATAAACAATTCCAATTTCACACAAATAAAACGATAACAATATGCCGCCCAACGTGGGGCTTTATTAAAAACTGGGGCGACATTAATAAGGTGTTAAAAAAACTTAATTTAAAAAAATATATCTAAGAGTAAAAAAGAAAACTGTCAAAATAATGGAAGAACAGCAGGCAGAAGGAGAAACAGACGTAGAAGAGAAACCCATAGGAGAAAAAGATGAAGTCGCAATTAATGCAGATAAAGAACTGAAAAGAAAAACAAAAGAACAGGAAAGTAAAAAATATCCTACAGATATAGCAGAAGAGATAAATGACGAAGAAGAGGATCAAAATAAAGAAGATTATGAACAAGAAAAGAAAAATTTGGAAAATGATGAAATGCAAATTTTAATACAAATGATTAGCAACCTAGGAAAAAGCAAGGAACAAAATAGAAAACAAAACAAGGGAGAAATCGAACAATATATTGAAAAAAAAAGGGGTAGGTGTTCGTTTTAGAAATTCATTCCTTCATAGATGCCACGTGAGGTTGCCTCAAACACTTTTTACTGTAGCGATATTCTTTATATTGATCCCTCCTCCAGCAAGAGAAAAATATACTCTTTGATACTTCAAAGAAGGAATATTATATATTTCTGACAGAATTCAATTCCTATAATAGGACACACCTACACTCGGATCAGGATTAAAGGAATTTCAAAAATCTCTTTTGAACCTTTTCTAAAGCATGAACGTTATGTAATAGCTATTTGTGTAATAAAAGAGAAATATGGTAAAGTACATACTTCATTTCACTTTACTTCCATTCTACAGGGTGTCTCATTAAAAATGGAACACAGAACAACTGAAGATTCTCTGATTAAAAATAAAATGATTAAACAAAACATGCGTAGATAAAATATTACTGGTTTTCGAAATACAGGATGATAAGGTTTAAAATTCAAAAATTATTAATATATTTTTTTTATATCCTAGTATATTTTTATTAAATTCGGTAGGCTCTTTTGGTTTCATAATACACACCTATCAGCAAAACAATCGGGTAATTAAATTTTGCCAGTAGCGTACGGCATGGAAAAGCAACACTTTCATCCCCTCTAAATTTTGCGCCTCTTTTCAAAAACTTATTTGGACTGTACATTTACATTTTTTCTAAATAAATTATGTAATCTTTTTGGGAATTCATAAAGTGACGTCACTTTCAAAAACTTATTTAGACAATAATTTTGAATGTTTCCATGTTTTTTTAAACTAATTATGTACTCTTATTGGAAATAACAAAATCCATAATAACAAGATTAAAATATTCTTTAAGTATGAATATCTGGAAAACATATCACTTTATCAATTCACAACAAGATTACATGATTTATTTACAAAACATCATAAAATGTAAATTTGTAGCCCAAATAGGTTTTGGTCATTGATGTAAAATTTAGAGAGGATGAAAATGTTACTTACCCATGCCGCAAGCCACTGATAAAGCCTTGGCAGAAAATATTCCAGAGTCTTTTTACACGAAACCTACAGCAACAAACCTTTATTTATTTATTTATTTATTTATTTATTTATCAGAAACATACAGGTTGCCCTAATTACATGTTCCTGTAACAAAAGTTATTTTATAATGACGTAACAATTTTCATATAATACTATTACAATAATAATATAATGTGTTAAGATCTAGTTTAATATAGGAGACTGGTACAAAGACAGAGATATTTTGTATATTTAGGTAATACGTACATTGGATGTGATATATTTTTTAAACAAGGACATTTTTATTCCAAATAATCCAGGACAGAGATCTGTGATGTATGTGTTGTATAACTGGCATATTCGATTTAAAGTGTTGTTGTTGGTTTCAGTGAAAAATAGTTGTGCCCTGGGACGAGTTCTGTGATCAGCCACATAAAAGTTGATTTTACTTAATAAATTAGGAGAATCAATCAGATGGTTACATAATTTATATAGAAGTATCAAACTGAGATGGAGTCTTCTATTCTCCAGTTTTATAATTTTGAACTCTGATCTTATTGGTTGGTAAGACATATGACCGGGAGAGGTTTTGTACCTCTTGTAATATAAATATTTCAAAAATTTATTTTGAATCGTTTCAATTCGGCAAGTTAGAGTTTTATTTATCATATTATTCCAGATTACGCTACCAAATTCTAGTTTACTTCTTACAAGAGAGCAAAATAAATAGTTAATGGAATCAATATTATTAAATTCTGATGTTGTACGTTTTACAAATCCTACTGATTTATTTGCCAAAGAGACGATTTTTTGGACATGTGAAGTAAAGTTAAGAGTACTAGAGAATGTAATACCCAAGTCCTCTACCTCGTTTACCCTTTTTAAATTTAAGTTTCCCATCGTGTAGATAAAGTGAGTAGGTTGAGTTTGGCGACTATAGGTCATAACAGCACACTTGTCAATATTAAAATGTAATTTATTTTTCAAAGACCAATCGTAGATCTTATCAATATCGTTCTGTAGTTGAAAGTAATCATTAATATCATTAACCTTAGAGAACAGTTTTAAATCATCGGCAAAAAGTAAAGACTGAGATGTTATACATTTTGGCAAATCATTCACAAATAATAAAAATAGTAGTGGCCCTAAATTAGAGCCTTGGGGTATCCCAGACTCAACCAGGTAGCTTATCGATTTTTCTCCTTTAAATGAAACATATTGCCATCTATCTTCAAGATAGCTCGTAAAAAGTTTTAATAAAGAGTTACTAACTCCAAAGGATATTAGTTTTTTGAGAAGTAAGTCATGGTTGACCTTATCGAAAGCCTTTGCAAAGTCTGTGTATACCACATCTACCTGATTTTTATTGCTTGTCGCATTACTAACATATTCAGTAAAAACTAACAGGTTTGTTTCAATTGATTTCATCTTGCGAAACCCATGCTGCTCCTCACATAGCATATTTTGAACATGATAATACAGTTTATCGTATAAAATAAACTCAAATACTTTTGCAACACAGTTTAGTAGTGCTATTGGCCTATAGTTACTAAATTCGTTTCGTAAATTCTTTTTGTGAATAGGTGATACTTTGGTTGATTTAAATTTTATTGGGAAAACATCATTATCCAGAGCTTTTTGCAGAAGCACTATTAGTGGATAAGCAAGGTAATCGCGGCATGCTTTAAAAATATATGCTGGAATCCCATCAGGACCTGCGGAGAATTTGGGCTTTAATCTAGCAAAGGCATTGTTGATATCCTGCACTGTAACTCGACTAAAGTTTAATTGTGGGGTATTAAAATTTTTGGTAGAATCTAAGAGAAAGGAACTAATATTATACTCTGAAGATTTTTGCTCAAAAACTGATTTGAAATAGTTGGCGAATCCTTCAGCTATGGCTTTTTTATCTGTAATATGTTCTCCGTTACTCCCTTTAAAGAAAGTGTTTTGAGTGCTTGATTTTTTATTATTATTTACTAAGTTCCAAAATAGATTAGGATTTAGTGCAATATTAATTTCCATATTTTGCATGTAAGATGCATGCTCTTGTTTTATTAAATGCTTTAATAGTGATCTCAATCTTTTAAATTCGTTTAGATGGGAGTTCGATCTGGTTTTTAATTTATGATGAATTTTCTTTTCCCTTAATAAGCGAATTATTTCCGGGGTAAACCACGCAGGGTAAGTATTACGTTTGCCATTTAAAGATTGAAATTTGGGTACACAAATATCAAAAATATCGTAGAGATTGTGATAGAAGTAATCTACTGCTGTATTAACATCTTGTATACAACCTAAGTATTCCCAATTACAATCCCTAAGTAGTTCACATAAAAGAGGAAAGTTTGCTCTTTTAAAGTTATACTGGTGCGTCAGGTTATTGAGTCGAGGTATATTTCTAACATTTTTAGTTATACTGTAGCTTAAAGAAAGAGCTGGATGTTTTTTATCTTCCACTATCAGAGGTTGTTGATGTTTATCTACCAGAATATTGATATTACTTAAAATCAAATCTAAAGTTCTATTATCTTCATTTAATATATTATTATAGGTGCCAAGATTAAACATATCCATTAGCTCTGATATTGCCAAGTACGCATCGGAAGAGCTATTGAGAAATTTAAAATTAATTCCATTAATTAGAGGCAGATTGAAATCTCCCAATACCACTACTGATGTATTTGAGTCAATAAAAGTATCTAGATGGGAAAATAACTCACAAAAGGAAATATAGCTATCATTTCTAGAATTAGGAGGAATATATACATTAGAGAAAATAAATTTATTGCCATACATGTCCACCTCAACAAATAAGACCTCTAAGTCCGCATTCAAATTTATCAATTTTGATTTGTATTTCTTGTGCACCGCAGTTAAAACACCGCCACCCCATTTCTTACCCGTGTATTGCAGATCCCTGTCCTTTGTGTATACCACATACCTATTATCAAAAAGTTCTGCATCATAAATGCCATCATTTAACCACGTTTCTGTTAAAAAGATAATATCATACGATTCAATCAATAAGTTATGTAAAAAATCTACTGTCTTTGTACGCAGCCCTCGTGTATTCTGGTAATATGTATGTACCTGCATGAAGTTAAACAGAGCTCTATATAAGCATAATAAGAAAAAAAAATTCAACATCATTTGATTTAGTTGAATTAACAAAAAAAAAAAAAAAAAATTATGTTAATAAATAGATATGTTTAACACCTAAAAAAAATATAATAAGCACATCTATTTTACATTGTACATTTGATTTTATAATAATTTATGTAATTGAAGTATGTTTTGCGATAACGTTTTCTTCGGTAATAAAATTATTATAACTATTACAACGTGCCTTGTAAAAAAATTAACATTAATTTTACAATAATACAGAAAAATATCTGACAATAAATAATAAAGGAAATTCCTATACCCAAAAACAAACAGAATGACTAATTTCTTATTTATTGCGATCTGAATTCAAACATAGAAAGAAAAAAAAAAAGATGTAAAAAGTTTCTGATATTAATCGGAGATAGTACTAAATCACTAGCTAACGACCCATGTGTAAATTAAATTTGACTTCTGCACTGTTGCCAGGTCCAACCATTTATATTGCCGTTAGATGCTTTTTAACTCCCTCATTATTAACAGTAAAAATTTTGCCATCAAGAGACCAGACATTTCTTGAACCATATTTTTTCTTAGCCATTTTCAGTAAGTTGTATCTGCGCGGGGTAAGTTCTTCATTTATAAATATGCCCGTACCTTGAAGTAGTCTCCTGGCATTAAGTATCTCTG